GGGCGCCGGTGCTGGTCCCCGTCCCCTCCCGCCGTGGCCCGCAGCCGGTCCCGGGCTCGGGGGGTTGGTTTGGGCTCTGCCGGCGGTGTCTCTGCCGCTTCGGCACACTTTTTAGAAAAGCTGTGACCTGGCCGAGTCGTGGGCTGAAACGCTGACCCCTGCGCTGGCTGCCTGGGTCCTGAGAGAGCTGTGAGGTGGGGTAAAATAATGAGTTTGAACTTTGAAAGCTTGGGTAGAAAACTACCTAACCCTACAGTTAATTAGCAGTGGAAATGCGGCGGCGTGACTAAGTTTTCAGGTGCTTCTTCCTTACCTGCTGTTATGTCATGGGCCTTGGGTGCCAACAAAACAAGATAAAAACCTCACTTTTGAAGTGCCATATGATCACGCCAGAAAGATTAAAAAGAAACCCCTGTTGCACCTCAGTTCCCACATCATCTTCCTAGTTCTGCGTTTGCTTCTTTTAGGGAAATTTAGTGATGGGCTTTGTGTGGTAGCTGCTAGGCATGGTGCTATAAAATCTTAAGATGATCAACTTTCAAGAGATGGTTGGTGTTTGCTGGTTGAGAACTCCTGCTTTTCTAGCTCCATCACTCAGTTGGAGTTGCGTTTCGGGCGTGAACTCGCTTGGAGCTTGGCAGAGCCCTCGCGTATCTTGGGCTGCTCTTGCCAAAGAGCATCAGTAGCCAAAGCGTGAGGCTGCCTGGAGTGGCTTTGCAGGTTTGGAAACCGTCCTCCCATCACACCGTGCAACTGCTCCTGGGTGATGCCCGCTCCTTTGTAAACAGGAGAGTAAGAACGACGGTTGTTGTTATTGTAACTTTGAAATCCCCTTGTTCTTTCTCTTCAAAATTACTTTTATGACCCAGACTAATAAAACGTAACAATATTAGTGAACTGCGATTAAGCAAGTTCCCAGTACAGCTGAAACACAATTGGGTCAGTGTAGGCAGCCTTATTGAAATAACTAACTTAGATGTTGAAACTGCGCTGTGTGTGCCTTGCTTTGTTTTGGCTTGGTTTTTTGGCAGTGCAGTGTATATATAGGGCTTATGATGTGCTCTTAAATAGACAAAAAAAACCCCCCAAAACTCCATGGAGTTGCTAACCTGGTATTATTACAGCTAGAGGCTTTTATGTGGGAGCAGATACTGCGTAAAACTGATTTCAAGCAACTTCCTTTATAGCTGGCACTAAGTGCTACAGACAGCTGAATTGCTGCTTGAAAAGGTTAAGCAGAGATTCATAGCTGGCTGTGTGCTTTTACAGGTGGGTAGATTTGACCCTGAACTCTGTTGGTGTTGAGCACTGTAGCTTCTTAGAAATTAGAAAATGGCATTTTCCATACTGTGTCAGAACATTTGTCACTCCAGTTTGATGTCAAATCTCTGTCAGCAGCTGATGCTTGATGGATCAAGACAAGTTTTTCACTGGGGTTTGCTTCTTTAAGGCAAATTATTTTTTTTTTTTCACTGGTGCTCTAATGTGTCTACTTTAGAGGTTTGTGGTGCTGTAGCCACACTGGCAGAAGTGTCCTTCCTGTGAACAAACCCTAACTCTCGTCTGCTCAGGTTATACACCACTGGCTTTGAAACCCGTAGCATTAGGCTTCCTCTATGGCAACTCGAATTTTGCTCGAACCGTATGTATTCCTGAACCTTAATGTGAAGTAATCCAGCTGGATGGAGTGTTGCAGCTGGGATTCCTTGCTGTAGGAGGAATTTCTGAATTCCATTTGGGATACGCTCATCCATCCTGTTTACGGGGAGGCTCGGGATGAGTGTGGTGGTTGAGCTGTCCATGGTGATGCCTCTCCTTCCTCCACGGAAGGGAGCCCATCACTTCAGGGTGGCCTCGCATCTTTTTGCCAATGTCTTTTGCTTTTTAGCTTGCTTCATTTAATATCTTGAGTCTACTGTCTCATATAGATCAGCCATTTAGTAGACTAAATGGTATGTGGCTTGATCCTGAAACAAAAGGTGCAAATTGGGAAAAACCTGGTTCATGCAAGTACAGAGGATGTACACAACCAAATTTATCATTTTAATCAATGGTGAAGAAGTCTCCCTTGTCTTTTTTTGAGGAGGTGCCTGGATTTCCTCAGAAAGAGAAGGGTATTTGGACTTAGGATTTATTTTCCTACTGGTGTTTGTTTTTCTCTTTGCTTCTTTAAATCTGTGTATTGTAGCAACTCTCTTACTGGTTTAGATAGGATGCTGCAGCTTGCTTAGCTTAAATCTGTACTTGGAGCTATCAAATGAGTACTGCAGAGTGATGGGAGGTTTTATGCACTCTGAGATGAATGTGTAGTCCCTTCACAATTCAGTTCCAGCGAATCAGGCACCTCTTTGTACTTGCATGTTAATTTGACACTAGCTTTGTATCCGTGTTCTTGCTGTGCTCTTCAGATAAATAAAACCTTCTTTTAAGCCTCCTCAACTATAGCATCTTTTCAGGCAATCTGAAAGGCAGTGATTTTATGTGGACTGATTTTTCTGCATTTAGGGTGAGATGGGTCTTAGTAAATTAGGAGAGAAATTCATTAAAATTTCCTTTTTTCCTAATTTTTTTTCTGTCTTGGTTACATGAGTCTATTTTATGCTACTGCCATTGCTAGCAGCATCGGGTACATCCAACACACCGTGACATCAGCCCTGGCTGTGGAGACTTGGGTTCCTGAAGGTACCGTGGGCTGTTAAATTTTTTTTTTTTTTCTGAGCCTGTGGACTTTCAATGGTAATTTTGTGCCTTTGAGAATCTTTTCCCTTTCTAACTGTTTTGACCATAAGCTGCTTGTTTTGACTAGTTGCCTGCTTTATAATGCATTGTTGAATGAGTTCTCTTT